CATCTCTTCCGTCTTCAAAAGAGTACATCAAATCACAATCAGCACAAAACCTTTACAAACAAGGAGAAAACCAGAGGAAAAAACTGACGCAAATATCAAGAGGTTTCAAACTTTTTTTTGTCTTTGTCCTCTTTTTTGTCCTCTGCAATACCAAGTTTCTTGTGTTTTTTTGTTTTTTTTTTGTTTTGACTTTTCCTCTTCACTTTATTTTTTTGGTTGCTGTTTCTTTCCTTTTGTTTGTTGGTGTTATCTACAACACCAAACCTGCCACACCAAGCCCAATAGAAAACCAACGTGCTGTCTTCAACTTTTGTCTTTCCGATGGCCATTTTGTTTTGCTGCTGCTATACCCAGTATCAAGCCAGACCCTCGAATCGTGCTGACTTTCCTCTTGGTTTATTTTTTTTATTGCATGCACCCAGCTTTCCTTTAGAAAAGAAAAACATGGCTGTTTCATCTTTTTTTTTAAACACAAAGTGGTGAACAGCCATTTTTCTTGCAGATCTCCATTTTTTTTTTCTGTCTGTTCTTTTCTTCATGACTAACTTCCTTTTTTTTTTTGTTGATGTAGTTTACTCAGAGAAAAAAAAAAGAGTAAAGGCTTTCTCATACAAAGATGGAGAGGAGTGGCCAGAGAGTCCAAAAGGTAGTTCACGCCTCTTTTTTTTTGTGCATTCTGGAATTAACCCTTATAACACCATTTTTGTTTCAGAGGATTTCCATTTGCTCGGTAGAGCTTTGTTGAACAGGAATCCTCTCATGGATTTGTTGTTCATGATTTAAGGGTTGCCACCCATTATGGATTTATCATCCAAGAGTTTGATTTGAGGGTTGCCACCCAATATGGATTCATCATCCAAGAAAATGATTTGAGGTTTGCCACCCAACAAGAACTAATTGAAAGAAGCAGTATACCTGTCAAAAGTATTCTCTTGTGTCTGTGCTCTTGTAATTTTTCTCCTGCAGCAGTTTTCTTCTTCTTTCGTTTCCTTCCCCTTTTTTTTTTTTTTCTCTTTCCCCATTTCTTTACTGCTGTCCTCTTAATAAGCCAAAGAAACTGAAAAATCAACTCCCCCAAAAATAGGAGCCACTAACCTCTCTTAAGAGTTTTCATTGGTTTAGACCCCCACCTCTCTACCCTCAATTTACTGCTTGCTAGATGTGGCTAAAAACGGGTATCAGAATTGTGGGTGTCCAATCCCACGTTTCAATTTTTTTTGTGAATTTTTTTATTTCAACAGGCCTCAAGCCTCATAACGATTTAGGGCTATATCAGAGTATATCTATTCAAGTTAAGTTTGCAACAAGGAAAATTATGTTCACAAACAAGGAGAATCCTACACGAGGGAGAAGAAGGAAAAGTAGCGGAAGATGGAATGCCCTCAAGTGGTTGTCAAGTACTTGTCTACTGCCTGGGGGGACGCAAAACAATAAAAGTGTTAGTGGACAAAAATAAATATTAAAAACATAATAAGAACATACTAACCCCACCGTTTAAAAACTAGTTACAATTCTGTTCTATGTTCGTACAGGAAAACAAGATTCATGCTTATGCATATAATATCTCATGCGAAAAGATAAATCATCAATTTCAACATAAAATTTCTCAAACTGTAAAATACTCTCCACCTAGATGTATCCCATAGAAAATCTGCCAATTCCAACAATATACCGTCAATTCCAAGTACCACACATGTGTGATACATCCTCTCAGAACTCGGGGGACACGAGGTCGACCATAGACGCATTCCTTGTAGAACTCAGGGGACGCATAGTTGGCCTAAGACGCATTCCTCGCACCACAAGATTCGGGCATCCCTGAGACTCGTGGGCGCATTGTGATACGCGAGCAGACTTATCCAAAGGTAACCAAATCGTCTGAAGACATTCCAATTCTCGAAGGCAATTGAGATGTCCGAGGACATCATAATATCCAAAAGCAACAAAAGGATACCTAAGGTGGTTTTGCAAACATTTCCCAAATCCTTTCTCAAATCCAATTCTCAAATCATTCTCAACTTTCCGAGCTAATCTCACTTAGTGATAACAATAACAATAATAATCATATAAAATTATCTCAACCAAAACCAAATGCTCGGAAAGTAAACACCATAAGTAATTTATTCATAAAAATTTCATAAAACCATCATAGTAGGAAAATCATTTATAAAACAAATGTCCACTCACTGTGGGTCCAAGCTTGCTTGACCCTTCGAAGGTCCCTCCGATTGAGCACGTGGAGTCTAAACACCTATTGAGAGAATACAAGCTTTGGTTAATAAAAAGCTCCACCTCAAACCCTTAATCAAAAACCAAATTCCCGGAATTTAAAGTGTGTGTGTATGACCTTAGAAAGTTCTACAGGTTCAACAAAACCCCTTTAACAAGTCCTAAGAGTTTCATTAAGGTCTGAAGGTCCAAACGTATCGAACCCGAAAAAGCGTAATAGGTAAGTTTTGGTATAATACTCAACCAGTTGAATTTAGCTAATCCGAGCATACCGTTGTGCTCGGGACGACGAGGGAATAATTCTAGGGTGAAAACAAGTCGTAGACATCTGGCTGACGCATAGCCACACACCGCTGCCGACGGTGGGTGGCATGAGAGATTTCTGGTGATCGGAAAATCTCCAAACCACTGGTCAAGTTCTACACCAAAGGTCAAGCACAAACAGAGGAGTGTTTTTAGTTCTTGGATCCTGGCCAAAAAGTGGCCGGAGTGGCCTGAAACACGGCCAAAGTTGCCGGCCAAATTGGGTGTCCAGATCAGGTCTTCAAACCACAAAATCAACCTAAACCAACTACGTAAACGGATAGAACGTGGAAAAAGGATGAAGATCCATACCTTACTTGATGGAATCGACGGTCGAAGTCACCGAAAAACTCCTAGAAACTGGCTGACGTCAAGAGAGGGTTTTGGGTCCATTTCAGTCTAAAAATCCAGCTGTTCTTAGACTTTTTGAGTTCGATTGAGGGGTGGGTTAGGTAGAGGAGATCTAAATGAAGCTTTTGTGGGTGGTGGCGCAGCTTGGAACGATCGGACAACGACAAATTTCACCGGAGAAGACAAACAGTCACTGTTTGCACAGTGGCTGTGTCGAGAATGAGAGACACGCGAAGGAGAGAGGGTCAGGAGGGAGGAGAGAGAAATGAGGGTGGGGAAGAAAAATCTGAATTTTAACACTTAACTTATAAAAATTACAATTGTGCCCCTACACTTCCGTAGATCGTAACTTTCTTTATTCAACTCCGATTTGGGCCCACTACATGTCTAAGAACTCGTGATCTCATGCACTACGTAATAGAGCCTAGAAATTTTCCAGACCATCCCCAAACAAAAGTCAACCCTAAACCACTAAGAAACCCTAAGGGTAAAATCATCAATTGCTTAAAAATGATTAAGAAATTAAGTAAATTCTTTGGGGTTGGATATCACATAAATAATGTAAGTTTTTAATTATAATAAATTGATGAAAATGTGCTTTAAATATCAACTTTAGTCAACATAAATTTTCACGGAGTTACACGTAGGTGCTAAATTGGAACACCTTGCAAAGTTCAGGTGGTTAATAGTAAAAATTGAAAGTTCATGTGGTAATCACGAACATGACTAAGAGTTCATGTGGCATTTATGCAATTTTCTCTTAAATTTAAGCACCTTTGATTTACGATTTTATATCAATCTCAATTTCCACCCAACCCACATCACTTGGTTGCTCACATAAAGCCTTGACTTCGAGAAAGTGAAAGAACTTAGGTCGTGAGGAGGTTCCTTGCTCAGCCAAACAATCGTTTAATTAAAGTTAGATCTTGGACGCATCATCTACTTACATTCAATTCAAGCCATTTGCGGGTTGGTAGTGGCACGCTGCGCACTCAATTAAAAAAGGATTAAAAAAACCTCCTTCAAATGGCCTACTCGGTCGACAAAACGGAAACACCATGATTTCATCGATAATGCCGAGCTTGCCAATCCCATGTCTGGAATTATGGGGTGGGGATGGATCATCCCTCGAGCTTCCTACTCCAGTTGAGCCTTATCTCGTTGCTCAAGCTATCCTATTGCATGCCGAGAAGTATTCATTGTTTGTGGACAAAGTTTACCATACCATGTGGAAAGTCGTGGTGTCCTACTTATTGGAACAGTGGTTGTTGCTAGGGGTGGGCACAATTTTGAGTCAACCTGACCAAACTACCTAATCCGATCATAGTGGGTTGGGTTGGCCTAAAAATGAGCGGGTCTTGAGTTATAAAAAAAAATCATAAACCGCTATATACATGTTGGGTTATGGGTTGGAACCAAAACTTAAAAGTAAGCTTAATTTTGAATTTACTCGATCAAACCGCCTAACCCAATCACAAAAAGTTTGGGTTGAGTTGGGTTGGCCTAATAATGAGCGGGCCTTGGATCCATGAAATCATAAACCACTATATATTGGGTTGGAACTAAAACCAACCCAACCCAACCCATGCCCACCCCTAGTTGTTGCAACCTCTAAACAAAAGTAGGTACAAAAGTAGGTATGAAATGTACCTCTACCATGGTTTTATAGACATAAAAAAGTGCGCACCAAGGCAGCATTATGAGGATTATATTCGGTGGCATCGCCCATGTTCTTCCATTTTGAAGAAGCCCACCTTGAACTCAACGAAGACACAACTTTCCAATCTTTTGAGGAATTCATTGAATTATGCATAATGATAGAGACAACGAAAGATTTTGTAGGAAACATTTTGGGAGTATTCCATCAGTTGAATTATTGGTTATTCTTAAGGCCCGACCCATTTGAACCCAATATGGGCCACCCTAACCTAACCCACTAAAGCCCACCCATATTTTAAATAAAACATAAATATATTATTGCCCAACCCTTTGAGCCCGATATGGCCTAACCGAGCCTAGCCCGCTCCATATTATAAGTGAAATATATGTATACTTTATCTCATATAATATTTTAGTCTATAATTAATATGTATTATGTTACTTTTATTAGGGTTTGAAGTCTTATAACTTACAACACTCTGCTTCACGTGGTTCAAAAATCTGACCAGACTGCTCTGGTTTGGAAGATTTATGAGCATATGGTTGGAAAAAGAAGTTACCCAAATGAAGGGACAATCAAAATCTTGATTGATGCTTTGTGCAAGGAAGGGAAGTTGAAGAAATACGTTCACATGTTGGACAGGATCCATGGGAAGAGGTGCTCTCCTTCTGTGATTGTGAATACTAGTCTGGTTTTTAGTATTTTGGAGGAGGGTAGGGTTGAAGAAGGTTTGATGATGTTGAGGAGAATGTTGCCGAAGAATCTGGTTCTTGATACAATTGCTTCCTCATTGATTGTTTATGCTAAAGTTAAACTAGGAGATGTATGCTCAGCATGGGAGGTGTATGAAGAAATGCTCAAGAGAGGTTTTCGAGCAAACTCTTTTGTCTATACTTTGTTTATGGGAGCACATTGTGAGGGAGGAAGAATTGAGGAAGCACAAAGCATGATGAATGAGATGGAAAATATGGATTTGAAGCCGTTTGATGAGAGCTATAATCTTCTTATTGAGGGATGCGCTAAAGCAGGAAGAGTGGATGCAAGCTTGAGTTACTTGAAGAAGATGGTGGAGAGCGGGTTCATCCCTTGTCGTTCGGCCTTCAATGAGATGGTCGGAAAGTTATGTGAAACAGGGGATGCAGGGCAAGCAAATGCAATGTTAACCATACCGTTAGATAAAGGGTTCTTGCCGGACAGCATCACATACGCTCATCTGATTGACGGGTATGGGAGAAAAGGTGAGATTCAGGAGGTTGTGAAACTCTATTATGAGATGGAGTCCGGGTCGCTTTCTCCTGGAGCGTTGGTTTTTACATCCTTGATAAAGAACTTCTGCCAGTGTGGGAAAGTGGAGGAAGCAGAAAGGTATTTTGGAATCATGAAAGATCGTTCAATAGCCCCAAGTTTATGTGTATATGAGACATTGATTGCCAACCACTTTGACAAGGGCAATGCAGAAAGGGCCCTTCACCTTAAGAATGAAATAGAACTCATTGCATCGATTTAAATCAATGAACTCTCATTCGAGTTGTCTTGTAATTCTCTTTTTAGTGGGTTGGAACAGATCATGGAAAGATGAAAACAAAAAAAATTCATGAAAAACCTTACGAGACAAGGGCGCAAGTGATGAAAACAACCATGCTGGCGGGA